GCTACACATGAGTAAACATCTCCCTGATTCAAGATCTTCACTTGGCTGGCTGTTTTTCAAAGATGCGCTCCTCAAGAAAAATGTCCACGTGTTTGCTGACCTTAGTTCTGTAGTTTTGTTGTAATAGTTCAGCATCTTTAAAAAGAAGAAAAATGTAGCAATGGGTTTTGGTCATTCCTTATAAAACCTGTTACAAATTACAGTTAAAGAATCTTAACCATGCTTAATTGGACTCATTTCTCAAAGATCGTGCAACTAAAAGGCATCTGTAATCTGATACTGTAAAGTCCCATTTTTGGGGATCAAAACAGTTCTCAATGTGGCTTTTCATTGAACAGCCACTACCATTGCTCTAAACTTTGTCCAGCACTTGAAGTGCTTCCTGATTTGATTCCTTTTCTTATATATTGCAATATCTGGGGCTTGTTTGTGTTCCTTATTTTCCCCCTCAGTCTCTGACTGACCTACCTCCTGCCAGGTTTTAAACTGAGAGGAAAGATATATGCTCATAAACAGACTTTTGGGAGACTTGATGCTAAATTCAAATTAATATTAAAAAAGAGAAAAAAAACCTTAGTTTAACTGAGGCTCCTGTTTGTTCAATTTCCCAAAAGAGTGAATTCCTTTCAGACTGGTGAACTACACATCCGAAGTGGCCGGCTGTTCATGAAGTTGCAAATTGCAGCATGCTACAGTCTGTCCAAGGTATCTTCTGTGCTCTGCTCAACATCTGCATTTTTAATGTGCTGTAAAATGGACTAATCTTGTTTAAAGTGATCGAGAAATGTAACTTTGTTTCCCTAAAGCTTATATATATCTCAAACCGGGAACAGTTTTGTACTTTTTGTTCTTTGTATGATCAACTTTTTTTTTGTCAGTTTGGCTTCATGGAGCCTATTAAACAAATTGTGGAAAATGATCATGATTGTTGCCTCTTAAAACAACCGCATGGGGACTAAAGCTGAGCGCTGTAGGCTCATTTTAATGTAATGCTGCGTGAGAACTAAATCATCTGCTTGATGCAATCAGATGGTGCCCATCTCTGGACTAAAGTCAACAATTTGGTAGGCTAGTCAAAGTTCTCAAAGCTTAAACGGGAGGGGAGGGAAAGCTGTTACTGGGTATCTGTAAAGATCCACATAAGTTTGAAAAAGGGGTGGGGAAAGCACAGTTGAATCAAGTGAATCCTGTACATGTTAAACGATCCATGAGCCGAATGTTGTACCTACTAAGTGTGCTGATCAAACAAAGTGGCATATGGGGGAAGTTGGTGCCTGGTCATGTTCATGCTTCATTACGTTCAAGAGAGGTCAAGAGCTCCTTCAAAATCCTACAAGTCCTTGGAGAGTGAAGTGTTGCGCCTACCAACAAGTGCTCCTCAGAGATGAAAGCTGCTCTTGCCTAGTCAAATGTGAAGAAAGTAGGCCAGTGCACGTGAGGTAAAAATCTCCTTTTGCTTTGCTCACATCCTTGAAACTAAGTTCTCATTGTTGCCATGAAATACCTTCAAGTTAGCCGCTGTTTAGTCCTCTGCTTCTGATGTCTCCTACAAACATCACAAGTCCTCTTACCTGATTCTAAAGTCCATTGGGAGGTGGGGTTTCTGTCTGGGATTTTAGTGCTCCACCTTGAGTCCACCAAAAAATGCATTGGTCCTTTAAGTCGGATAGTTTTGTGCTCAGTCCACTTTGGTCACTAGTCCACAAATTTGCTCCTGTAATGTCCACAAGCCCCAATTCATGTGTAAGGTGTATAGACTGCATTCACTTTTCCTTTGTACCTTATGTGGTGAGTCATTAATACTGCATGCAGTTTGACTTCAAGCATCAGTTGGCAGGTTTAATCCATCCATTTCTCCTCCTCTAGACTGAAAACTGACTGGATGCTTCAGTGGATCTCGTCACAGCTGAAGTAGCTGGATTTTTAGGCTGCAAGATCTCATGCAGTTGCTGTATCAGGTAAGTCGTAAAGCATGTTGTTACTCAAAGCTTTTGGTTGTTTTGTTTTGTGTTTGGTTTTTTTTTGTTTTTTTTTGCTCAAAACTGGAATTTTGTCAGGCTAAATAAGATGTTTGTTCCAGGTCCAATGAGCAGTGGGGTGACTGTCAACACGAAGGAATCTTCCAAATTCCTGAAGCGCATTTCCTGATGTTACAGTAAATGTCGCGAACTGGGAAAACGGCATTAGAGCTGCAGTTGATGGACAAACCTGACTATGTAGTTTTGCTTTGGATCGAAACTCGAATAAAATCTGACACAAAAGAACTTGCTGTGGTTTTTCTTCCTTTGTAAACACATGCCTGAGGTAGTGCTTACTTTGAAACTCACATTGGCTTTTTATTTCTAAAGATATAGAGACATGTCAGAATGTTTTAAAAGTAGGAGGGAAAGTGATGTAGTTGAGGAAATATTGTGTGCTTAATTTTAATTATCTTAAGGAAGCTGCACTAGGGCCAGATATACATTCCTGTTTAAGCATGTAGGGTAATGGGTCATTAGTACACATTTGTAAATAGGTGGATATGAATAGTGTGTAAAATACTACAGTCTAATTACCCAGCTCATTCTCTTTACAGTACTCTGGTGTATGTAAGCCAATATTAATTGGTTAACATCTCACTCTTGTCAAGCTGTTGTGTTTAGACACACTGATGCTACCAAGCTATTACTTGGTAGAGGTAATGACTAATACTTGGTCTTTGTAAGATTTGAAGGATTACATTAGAAGTTTTATGTGATATGAAGTTGAAATATGATCAATGCATCAGATATGGCAAAAGTGTAAGATGCAAATCTTGACTTCTGACCCCATGTGTACGTGACAAATGCAGCCGACCACGCACACTTACACACAGGCATTTGAAACAAGTCCAGCAGGTTTGTTTACTATGCAAACATGAAGGCTGCTGGTTTGTCTTGTAAATTAGGACAAACAAGTTTAACAGGATGCACCGCTGTACTTTTTCTGTGGGTGTTTCATAATGGCTTCATCCAATCAGAAAACTTTGTCTTAATCTTCAGAGTAATTTGATAAGTGAAATAAAAGCTACCTCACAGTTTGGAAAGCTGATAATCAGGCAGTGGCTCACTTTTGTTAGTGTGCACTGACCTCCACACTGTGGTTCACCAAACTCATCTTCCTGTACTCAGCACATGTGTGGTGTCACATTTTACAAAGGCAGAGCTTCAGATTGGTAGATTTTGTGCTTGAGCACTGAGTTACATGTACTAAAAATACAAAATAAGGATTCATATTTAAGTATATTAATTCATTATTTAAATAAATGTCAAGCATTTGGATGTCACAGCTGGTAGAGGTGTGTTAGTACTGTGCTAGTTCCTGTAGAAAAATAAAAACAGTAAACGTCATGAAATAAGAAATAAAGTACACTACATGGCTATAAAATGCAGTGAAGTAAAAGTATGACATAAGTAGTTTTGGTTTAGCCTAAATTAAAGAACTGACACAGAAGCCAAGATCAGGTACAGAAAAACAGACATTTTAATTTGGAACATTTACAAGCTGAAGTGAACGACCGCACAGGTCCAGGTGGAGGAGCTTGGGATGCTGGTGGTCTCGGTGGTGCTCACACGTACCACAGGAAGCCGAAACGCTTGTGCAAAAGCTCTTCGCGGGGCCTGAGGTTGAACAGCTCCTCTGACAGAGGGGTGACCCAGCGGTCTGTGTGAAAGACGCTCTCGCCAACCTGCACAGGTTAAAAAGATGCACAGTCAGCATCAACACAGGACAGACAGACCTGAACTAAAATATAGATTCATTTGTTACCCTGTTTACTGAGTCTTATGTATTTTCACTTTGCATTTTTACCCAAACATACTTGGATTTTTGCAGTTTCCTTTATTTATTTATTTTTTACTTTCAGCTGCAGTAGTACGGGGTTGTTTAAATTGTGTCTCAGGTTAACCTTTGCATCTCAGCAGGCTCACAGCAAGTAAGGTAGGTGGGAAATCTAGATAAGTGTTATGCTTACAAAACAAAGCTGAAAATAATACTGTCAGTCAGTGCGTTTAAGAGGAAAAGTCAATCATCTTTTCTGTGTTTGACTATACGCACCTATCTCCGCTAATATTTGTACGAAATGCAAAAGTTTATAGTAGTTTGTTATAAAGAAGACCATTTGAAGGTTTAAAAATGTAACATGTACAAAGGGTCCTGATAGCAGTAAGAGTAAATTACATTTATTCACTTCTTCACAAATGAAAAGCCCTCTAAATTTCTTTTAATCCTCTTGTGTTCAGTCCCACCCCCAAATTTGGTTTAACAAATTATATATTTATGAAATTTTAAAGTATGATTCTTCTTTGTTGTCTGAATTGTTTTAAAAATTAAAACATCAAGTATATTAAAAACTAATGAAAAGGCCTCTATTAAATAATGTTGGACAGGTATTGAAAAATTCTTCTCTATAATTATATCATAAAGATGCTGTATATGAAAAAAAGAATAATAAATGACTAAAAATAATGAATAAGCAGGAGCAACTGATTTTTTTTTTTTAACTTCTTACCTTCCAACCTGGAACGTCCTTCATGATGACTGCCTCCTCTTCCAAGTTTTCCCTCAGCATCCGTAAGGTCCTAGCACAGAGACAACATTCAGCTCTGCATTAAACAGCTGACCTGTGTTTGCAAGCTTAGGCAGTATAAAAGATGGACAATAGTTCATGTGTCTGAAAAGGTCAATGGCCTTCAATCTGCATTCTTTCTAATGGACAGCAGAGGGCGACTCCTGTGCTTGAAAAAAAACCCAAAGCATTCCCAAATTCCTCTGAGACCCCAGTAAACACTTTCCTGATGTGTTTAGGGACTCAGTTTGTAGTTTGTGTTTGTACTGAACAAACCATTGAGGCCATTTTGTCAATGAAAGTCAATCTGGGAGTCAGAAACACCTCAGTTTGAGGCTTCATAACAGAAAATTACAGACCAACATTTAGGTGATCTAAACGTTGGTTGGCTGGCTATGTCTAACTATTTTATACAGTCTATTGTTGTAAACACCATTGAAAGAAAAAAAATCATAGTAAGCATGCACAAAAGTGCTCAGTCACCTTCGGTCATGCTCTGCCTGCAGCAGAGGCATCAGAGCTATCCTGGCTTCCAGCTCTTCAATCTGCAGTCGCCTGCAACATACAAACACGCACACACAGTTTGAGACTGAGCAGTGCACACAGGTGTGACAGTAAGCAAAACCACATCACAATTCCTTGACATTTCTTACCTCCTCTCTCTGTTCCACTTGAATAGCCTCCAGTACCCAAAGACCATGATGCCGATGCCAATTCCGAACATACTATATCCTGCAGGTTAAAGAATGAATGAAGCAACAGAACATTATTGAGTATTAATGCACATTTTTAACATCTTTAAGTAGCTTAAGTAAGTTTACATATGTATTAAAGCATTTACTATATTAATAG